ATTTTTTTTTTTTTTTTTTTTTACTGTTATTAAAACTATTTTATACGCTGTTATTACCAAAAACCCCCAAAAATTAGTATTATTGTACAATAATTTAATATAAAGATCAATAAGTGCTATGCTTTATGGCCTGAATGGTGCGATTTAGGTTGTGGGTTGTTCATTACTACCATCGCACCCGGCTTGACTAAAAGATGACCATTGGACAGTGGAGGTATTGATTGATTTGGAATTGTTACTGCCTATAATAATTAAAAATCATATAATGAATATAAAAATTAATTTATACATTTATAAATGGTACTACATTATTACCTTAGAAGAAGATGTGGATAGTACTAGATGAGCTGGAGAAGAATTAGTATGATGATGAGTTAAAAGTAATGGTCGGGTTATAACATGATTTGGAGTTGTTTGTCCTCTATTTACAACTAAATAAATAAGTTCATTTATTTAAGTTATTATACATTTGGAAACTTATTAAGTTTTAAATAAATTATCTTAATTATTAGATGTTCACCTGAAGCTTGGTTTGCTAATATATTATTTTGCAACAGTCTAATAGGAGCAGGAGCTGCATTGTTGGAATGATCGATCACACTAGGACTAATCTTTATGCCTAAAAAAATATGATATTTTTAATTTTAACAGTTCCTACTTATGGCTTCATAATTAAAACCTGCAATAGACATTTTAGAACGATTGGTTGCAATCTTTGGGTCACCATACAATGTGAAAGAACCATTTGATACTTTAGTAAGTACTGCTTGAGTGGTACCTTCATGTTGATCTGTAACAATGAGAATTTGTTACAAATTTGTTAGTTAACAAATAATGATTAAAAAAATTAATTTGAACCCTTTTTACATACTAAGAGCATCTTTATGATGAACGAATGTGAGAGTTTGCTGCTGTATATTGTTGGGTAATGAAGACGAGTTTCTGGTCTGAGGAACTATGTGAATGGTACTTCCCATCATTGGTGATGTGCTCACAACTTGAACCTGATGAGGAGTTGTTTCAGAGACAAGTGGCAAGGTGGGTGGAGAGGAACTAGAGAGAGATGAGGTACTACTGTATAGGGCACTGAGTTTGCTATCATCTGCATCACTGGTAGCCATACTAGCTTCTCTTTCTGTTTCAAAGTCTCCATTTATACTGGTAGCAACTAATAAAAAATATGAAAATCAGTATTAAATCTTTATATTATATTTATTTTCAATACATTTAAAATAATTCATTCAATAAAAAAAAAAAAAAAAAGGAAAATCATAAATGTTTTATTTAATTTATGCTAATAAACCCTAACTATATATAATTATACAAAATACTTTATTTGAACTACTAATAATTCAACTATTCCGGAAATTGACCACCAAAGTTAAGGGTTTGCTTATAAAAAAAAAAAATTCACTATTATAATTCTAAATGAATATTTAAATGTTATTCTAATGCTAATTAAATTTAATTAAAAAAAAAAAATATTTACTAGTAGTTTTTCTAGTTGCTACATCAGGTGGTAATTCTGGAATCAGTTTACTAAAATCAATGTGATCCCATTTAGCAGCCAATTCTTTCTTTAGAGAAGCGTGCCTTTGTTGGGCCCAAATTTTCTCCCTGGCCAGTCTTTCCATTTCATGTTCTAGCTCCCTTTCTCTTCGTCTCAAAACCTAAATAGCACAATGTTTTCACATAAGTAACGTTTACATAAATTGTATCATAAAAATTTACATTAAAATGATTCATGCAAAACTTTCTTAACGACAATTTAATTATACACAATACGAGACAAATGTGTAATCAAATGAATGGTCAAAAACTTCCTCTTATATACTTCATACTTATATACTATCATTATAAAATTGTTTTCCCGATAAACATTTTATATTATCATACAGTACACATTGTGGGTCTAAAATTAAAGGAGCGCAACAACCAAAATTGAGACTTCTTGATCATTAGTCTATTTTAACCAATAATGAAAATATTTTGTTATGTTAAAATGGTGTACCATTAATGATATTGAAAGGTATTTTTCAAGAAGAAATATAACATATTTTCATTAGCTTAAATGGAAAATGAATTTAAAATGTTGCTCACCTGAAAATTAAGCAATTGATTAATACGCTTCTTTAATTCTAAGCCCTCTACATGACTTCTATTAAAACTTTTCTCTCTTTGAAACATCCCATCAAATTAGCTCATTGAAAATTGATGCCCTGCGTTTCACCCAGACCCGAACTACTGACTAGGCATTCGACACGTTCAAAGAACAAGAGGCGTTATAATGCAAATAACCTTTTTTTTTCTAAAATGATGAAGTAACGAGCATGAAAAAAGGTCAGAAATAAATTGAAATCGGGCGGGCAATTTCCTTTTTAATTTTTTACTATATTTAATCAGACAACTCGTCAGCGGCGAGTCTGTCTTCGCCCTAATTGATTTTAAGTTAAATAGCTACTGACTACACCACAATAATTTCATTAAACTCAACCTGTTTTAGATCTAAATAGAAATATAGCCAGTATTGTCCTCGAATGCCATAATAAAATAAAGAAAAAGGTTTTCGAAAATTATTGATGATTACAAAGCTAACGTGCAAAATTGTAGTCTATAGGTCATGGCTAATCATTACTTGAACACGTGAACGGTCGCGACGACGTGCGACATTGTGTTAGTGACTAAGTAAAAAAATAAAATCGACAACGTTTTTAAAACTATCACGTGGGCATAGAAAAAAAAAAAATAAGAAAATAAAAATTTATTTCATACAACACTCAAATACAAAATGTGCACTTGCCACGCGTGTGGCGCTTCAGCAATTAGTAGTAAATCGACATTAATAATAATAATCATCGCCTACGTATGAGTTATTATTCCAATTGAACATCGATGAAATTCCGCAATAACTCGAAAACAAGTGCACAATAAAAGCACATACACCCGCATACGTACAGTAATGGTGATTTCTTATACAAAAACTAATGCAGGGAACTCATTAATGCTTCACAATATTTCTATTAACATTAAAAGCTTTTAATGCCTTTTAATTCACCAACAAAACACAAGTAGAATCAGACATTTTCCATAATTATAATTGAAGAAATTACTCGAACGATTAATTATCTAGGTGTCCACGTCATCTACAAGGTCACAGGGTCATCGCTGTACTCTTACAACGTGATCTCATTTAGGGCAATCATTAATAACAAAATCGATGTACATATAGCCGTTTATATATTATAAATTGTAATATCGCAGACGTCCTCCGCCGGAATGAGCCATCCATAATAAAACCGGATAGTAATCGTGTTTACACATCATTGCACAAATAAATGCGAAGTACTTTAAAACAGAGTCCCAAAATTATATTAGTTATGAAAAAAAAAACTCAGTCATAGAGAAACATTGAGCGAGAAACAATTTTTTCGGCAAAGACACGAGAAGTTGACCTCAGGTGTTAAACGTATTCAAACAAAATTTCAGACACCACTACATAAACCAATTTAAAATATATATATATATATACATTCAAAAATATATCCAAGGGCATACCGCGTTAAGGTCACACATATTTCACGTGAGTAGTGTAGACTAAAAAAATTACAATGAATAATAAAATGATTATTACATAAATAAAACCAACAATTATCTTAGCGACAGCGATTTGCTTTCATTAGACTGTACATTACACCGGATAATCCGTTTATAAAAGCGTAAAAGTAAAACTTAAGATTAAACCAGTAAACAACAGCGAAATATGACCGAGGGAAAGGATTCTAAACTTGGCGTGTAAACAACTATGGGTACAAATATTTCTAAAAGTTTTAAAATTCAAACAATCTGAATCTGTAGTTTTTATTCCACTTTGTTTTTGTTTTTCGACAGCGGCATGTTGTACAATGTACGTAGTACACGATATGCCGAGTGTTGGCCCTACGTGCGAAACACAGACGAGGCCGTTGGCGCGGGTCTGTGTGCTTGTTCAGCGAATGACCTCCTACCTACAAATGAATAAATAACAAACAACTATATATACAAGCGATACATAAATGTGTGCCAATCTATTAAACATAACACCGAGAAGAGCACGGAGGAAGCGTCGTCCGTGCATATTTTTAAACAATAATATTATAGGTTACGAGCAAAAAAACCAACCAACTGGGCGCTCAGTATACACGCACTTAAAAAAACAGTAAACAGAACATGTACAATAATAATGGGTGCTGAGAGAGACGTTTAAAGAATAAAGTTTCGTTTTATAACTATTATAACAATTATGTATATTAACGTATCCAGACGATGAAGCCTACCTGAATATACCGGATGGCGCTCCTGAGTATACTCAGGTTTGAAGTCTTTTTCTCGTCCTGAGATGCCGGCACTTGTTTCTTGAGCAGCTCGAAACATTCTTTAAGATGTGCACGTCGGTTTTTCTCCAATTTGTTGTGCACCTCCCTTGTGCCGGATCTAAAAGACGACACACACATAGCACACCTTGTAGTAATATATCACGTCATGTTATCATAAAATCCAATAGAGTTATTTAAAAAAAAATAATAATAATAATAATAATAATAAGACACAATTACTCCGGGGATAATTAACATGCAGCGAAATGATAGGGACGTAACGTGTCTAATGGTCCTCGAGTTCAAAAAAAATATATGTCAATCGCCCCCATACAAACGAAACGGAATATTATAGCAGGCGGTTAAAAAAAAAAAAATGGGCGCTCTTACCCAGTCCGGCGTTTGAGTTCTTGGGCCAAAGATAACGCGGCGACATTGTCGTCTGAATTAGGGGCTGCTGCTGCTGTTACAACTGAACTGGTTGATACGGCAGTAATAAGTGCATTGGGTGCGTTATTGACGACGGGAGGCTTGTACACGTGATGGACGACGTGCTGCTGTTGCAGCTGCGGTAGGACGGCAGCGGTAACCACGGCAGCGGTTTGCTGTTTGGGCTGTAATTGTTGCCGGTGAAGTTGTTGATGTAACTGTTGCTGCTGCTGCTGCTGCTGAGGGGGTGTAGACGGTGGTTCGATGTGGTTCAACGAAGCCGGTAAATCTGAGCTAGGAAGCGTCACCGAGGTAGGATGGTAACCGGCATCTTTGTCGGTAGACAAAGGTTCCTCTGTAAGCACACACAAGTTCAAATTACAAGTAAAGTCAAACAATAAATTTAATAAAATAACGTGTTTACGAAAACGTTCGCACGATATACCTAATAAATAATGTCTAATCCATTTCTTTTTAGGCGGCGACGGCGTCACCCAAGCGTCGACGTTTAAAAATAAGACGCCCATGGTCATTCGAAAACAAAATTACCACTATGGTCGGTGGTTCATGATGAAAAATGCGGGGCAAAGACGAACGGACGGTAAACGAATATATCAGCCGATAAACGAGAGCTGCTCACTGACGAACCCAGTGAAATTACTACGGGTGTTGGCGACGATGCGAAAATTTGTGTGCGCCGACGGACAGCTACTCTGCGGCAATGACGCCAGACCGACGGATAACGCGGCGGTCGCCGAAACGGTTTTGAGAGGATGGCTGACGGCCGACTTGGAAGTACGTCGAAACGCGATGACGTCACACGGTACCATCTCCTACCGCCACGAGACGGCCCACCGACGGAGAGCGTGTTCGAAAACCCGGCACTTCTATCACGTTGCGGAATTTCATGCACCATAATATACATTTGATTGCTTTATCATTTATTTATACTTGTGCATACCTGTGTGCGTATACATGGATACACATTATTATTTGTAGCGCATTATTACATACGCATACAGCGTGAGTGTGTTATTTGCGTTTGTGCACGTTGTGTACATGAAGTTTTCGCCGATTTGCTCACGTGTGCGGCGCCGCGCACCGATCGTGTACGGAGAAGAAGACATTTCTCAACCTATTAGCTGTCGAGTTTTTTTATTTATTTTTATTGTTGGCCCAGACCGCGTCGTGCAATGCGCGCGTACAATCACTAATTTTTACATAATTACTATCTCGTCGTCAAAAACACAAACTGACGACGGCGTACAACAATGCGCAAAGTGCACAAACACGGCCCCGCGTGCTTCTATCGGTTTTCTACGACGCGGCTCAACAACAATAACAATGCCCATACACAAAGTACCGACGTGTATTAGATACTTGCACACTCATCGGGTTGCGAAAACAACGTTCTCCGACGCGATGACGTACTCGAGTAAAAAACGTCAGTAAAAAATAATCCCGACAAATATCGTTCGACTATCAGCACGTGCAAAATTTTCGGCAATAACAACAACTCGGAATACAAAAATTGGTGTGCATTTTACCATTTGAAAAAATAACGATAATAGCAAAAAATAAATACAAATACGAACAAACACCGTCAAAACGAAAACGTCAGAAAATTGTATCGATTACTTTCCATAAATAAAATATAACTTTCGTTTTTTCTGTTAACTTAATTATTGATTTTCAGTTGTTTTTTTTTTGACAAACACGAACTGGTATAGAACAAAGAAAATTTTAAAGAACTCGCCGATTATGTAACAACAGATAGTTTTGCGAGGAAGGAAATCGGAGAAAAAAGTTCTGTCATTATCGGTCGATATTTTAACCATCCAAGTACACAATTCACTCGTACAAAACGTCAAAATTAAAGTTGGACTATTTGCAATAATGCCGTGTACGTGTCCTGCGGGATAACATCGATCGATACCTTATATTTTAGAAAAATAATGCAAACAGCGCGTTTAGCGCGTAACATGTACAAGTAACAAATTAAGAAGACGAACACAAACGTTATCTGTTGCCCGAATATTTTTATGGTCACACCAATAATGATGGCGACATTGTAGAAAACGAATGTGACGATCGCGCGATTTTTAAGTTGTTCCTGCTAAGTGTTCACTAAGAGAAATTGACTTTTATGCAAGTGCCTCGACTTCATTTGCTTTCAGTGTGTAAAACACGTCATTAATATTATTAGAACACACGCGAGTCTGGCGTTATCAAGCCGACAAATCGATAATAAATAATGTGTACAAATTCACTTTATAACCGTTTTAATAGTGGAGAATACGTACAGGAGGATAGCCACAATTTTATACAAAACACGGCGAAAATCGACTATTGTGTTGGCGTTGTAACAACAGCTTTTTAGCATATTTTAATATAATTTTCATAACATTAACGCATAGCAGACGGCCAGATAAATGCGCGCATACATTTGTCTAAGGAATCGTTTTCGTTACACATCATCAAAGCCCATCGCAGTCACCATACGACAACGGCGGGCTGACCTTTCTTTTACGGTTGGGAATCAATAATTTTTCAAGCTTCCTCCTTCATGAATTTAACATTAGACGTCCGTATAAATGTTTAAAACTTATCGGCTACAGTAAACGATGTCGACAACCTTAAATAACAGATATGAATTAACAATGTGGAGCTTCGTTTTGTAATAAATCAAATGCAAAAAATTTATGTGCATACATGGCAGTGTACGACACGTGTTCGAGCGCGTTTTCTTATCGCCTTTATAGTCAAATGCGGTTAAATATACAACAAATTAATGAAGATATTACTCTTTGAATTGTTACTACAATAAATACATTGCTCGATATTGCATAAAAAATATGGCCAAATAAACTACACACACCGCGCACGAATTGCGTTACCAAAACTACAATCAGGTAGTAAGAGATCAAAAAATAAACCACTGTTAATAAGTCGATGAATATCAATAAAAACAAGTTCATTTGGTTCAAGTGTATTTTATACATTAACACAAATCATTTGAAAACTACCTCAAGTATTAGATGCCATTCGCTTGTTTTAATTCGATGTTTACACTAAACAGGATCTCAAACCGTCAAACACGAGTTCCTATGCAACAAAAATAATTTATTCTAAAAAAAATTAATATTTTTCTACAACAAGTACTCGAGTACTATTTTTAACGTCATAATTATTAGTTGTGCGTACGTTACGAAAAACAATTTTTTTTTTTTTCATTTTATATTTTTATGATAGTCTGAGTAATATTTATTTTTCGTTTTATATTACGTATCACGATCCTTAAAATTCTAAGAAACGGCATACGATTTGACCAGACGATCCTCTTAAAAGGTAATTAAAATTATCGATGGCGTTATCGCCAGTGCATAACTCTTATGTGATTGAAAATTACGTTTTAATGGCCATGCAATTACTGTACAGGCGGCTATTAGTAAAGTTTTTTTTTTTTTTTTTAATGACAAAATTAGTCATCTAACGTTGAGTTGAGTTTCGATTTTCCGTCCAAGTAAAAAGAGTACGAGGCGTTTAAAAATATACGTCGCCCTTTTTTTAGCAGAGCAACGGCAACGGCATTACAATATTTTATTATTCAACGAAACAAGTTGCACAAAATTTCATCTCGTCATTAAATACGGTAGTTTGTCAACTGTTTTCGTTGAACCGATGTCTTCGTGAAAAAAAACGTTTAATAACAAGGCTGTGACCTTGGAGATCAAAAGAAAAAGAAAGATTTATTTTTGGAAAACTGCCTCGTTTTGAGACTTTCTCACTAAATGAATTTCAGTCAGTCGCATTGGAATACTCAGGTGATTTTCCTCGGATACAAAAAAAAATGTCATACATAACGTGTGGCTTGCAAAAAAACTACTACGCGCCGACGAAATGTACGCAACGCCGCGATAAAAATATATTTATAGAAAATATCGACACGGGGAGGGAGGGCACAGATTTCACGGTTGTTGTGCAAATAATAGTTACCCAACGTCCACAAGTTTGCGGTGTACTGCCTGTGTCAGTAGACCATTACTCATATCAAGCACAATAAAATAGTAATAATAATTTGAAGTTTACGTACGTGCGAACAGTTTGTTGTTTACTTTTTTTATTTATCTAAAATTTCAACAAACAATTCGCATAGATAACTCTTCTATCTGGGCTGCTTGAAATAATTAATTGAAACACATGTTTTCGACGAAACCTAACCAAATACACGACAGAGGATCGTTTGTTTGATAACAAGTAATCAATGTTGAATTAACCTATCGAGATTGTCTGCCCTAAAAAAACACCAATTAACATTCATCAACGCGACTTTAATGTTAATTCAAACAATTTCGCGGCAAAATTAGGTAACACTAGTCCATAACGGAACGATGTTTCCAATTGTTAGTAGTATTTAGTATGCAAAATTTAGAATAACTTACAAATAACAAACGCCATGATGACTGTTTAAGTAAAAGTCATGTTCAGCACGCAGGGTTACCCTTTGACCATTGCACAATAATTATTTTTTGCGCGAATAAAATAATTTTTTATCGAGTTGTAACCCGATTGGGTTAGACTAGAGAATGTTTAAAAGGAAATATTTAAAAATAATTACAATTTTATTACGACTGTATTCATATATACTGCATTTGTATTACACAAATAGCTCTGAAGTGTTAAAACTTTCATGCGCATTATTAATTAAATTGGTAACAACGAAAAAATGTACAGTAGAAAAATACATATTCCGAATATACGAAAAACAAATTCTGAAAACGACAATAAAAACGAATTCATAGAAAAATATGATTTAAAAAATATGTATACTTGAATTTTACACGCGTTGGAATTAATTCACCGAGTAAAAAAAAAATATCAATGTTGTCACCATTACGCTTTTCGGTTATGCTAATATAATGTTAATTAGGTAAGAAGAACAATACTAAATTGACAAATGGAAAAAAATCACGACAAACATTATGTATACAGGCGCAAAGATCGCTGTGTGGCACTACATGATAAAATCATAGTACAACAGTACAGACATTGATCGAAATCTATAAATCATGTTTATGTATAGCAAATGAATTGAGGTACAGCGATTTCGATTAACACGTGCAGTTTATTGATGGTGACCTAAGAGCGGCGCCATCTGTCCATTTGAAAACAAACTCACACTATCAAAGCATCACTATTCGCAGAACCAACACCGCAGCAGTAATAACAACGGGTGAAATTTTTTCAGGTGTGACGATGAGATTCATATCGGAGGGCAAAGAATTATTATGGAAATTTCAGTATAACTTTGTTACAATAACCCATGACAAATTTGCATACCTTTCAGAATATTTA